TCTTCAGAGGAGAGAAAGAAGACACTGCAGGATGTAGCTCAGGGGTGGAACATGTGCGAGTGTGTGAGAGGCCCAGGAGTCCAACCCCAGCACCCCAGAAGACAGCAAACAGACAGACCGACAGACACTCTGGCAATGTCCACTGATTTTTGTTGAAGAGTTTTAAGAACATTTCGAATTTTGCAAAGCATTCTTATAATACCCTGGTATCTTCACGTGGGTACCATAACAAAATAAACCTGTTTCCAACCCCATATCCTGATATATATATATATATATATATATATATATATATATATATATATATATACCAGATCTTACTTTGTAGCCCAGGCTGGTCTTCTTCTTGTTATGTAGCACAGGCTGGCCTCAAATTTGCAGTTGTGCCTTAGCCTCCCAAGTGCTGGGTTTATAGGTGTGAGCCACCAAACTCCACAAGGCCTGAAACCTGCGCACGCGTGTGTGTGTGTGTGTGTGTGTGTGTGTGTGTGTGTGTGTGTGTGTGTTCCCTAAGAGCCTGTGACCTAGGAATTTGGATTATGAGAAACACTCCTGGTGACTTTTAAATTTTTATTTCAAGTGAGCATACAAAGTAACAGATTCTTTAAGGCATTTTTCACACGTGTGCCATTGTGTGTTGTGTGCACAGCCAGCTCTGGGAAGTGATGCCTTAAAGGACCCTGTGGGGTTTCGCCGTTTTCACTGTGAAGAGAACTTCACTGATGCAGGATCTGAAGCTAGTCTTGTAGTGTCCTTGCACACATGCCTAGTCCTGCCCCAACGTGAGCAGCACGCATCAGCTAATGGAGGCCGGAAGCTCAGCCTCCCAAGGCTTATTGATTTCCTGCAAGGACGTCACCGCAAAGCTCACAGGTCTTCCTAGGGACAAGTCCTGGGGCCCCAAATGCTCTTAGTAACGCTAGTGTAACCACTGAAGCCACATCCCACTTCCCTTTTTAGGGGCTGGGAGCCTTGAAACTTGTAGACCAGATCAGCTTTGAACTTACAGAGATCCCCCTGCTGCAGCCTCCCAAGTGCTGAGATTCCAGCACACCCGGCCTCTCCCACCCTTTCTTTAATCTAATTTCGTTTAATTTAAATGTTTTTATTTGGGCTATGAAGAGTTTCCCGATGAGACTGGAGTTCCTAGTTCCTAATATGGAGTCCAGGAGCCCCTGAAATCTCGAGAAGACTTGTAAGTGAATAAGAATATTTTTCTGGGAGAGAGTCCAGAACTGCCGCCAGATTCCCAAAGGCATCCTTGGCCCTAAAGGGAGAAAGATTGAGGATCGGAACACAGGAATTTTAGAAGATGAAACAGTGAGAAGTGATGAGCTGGGTGGGGATTTCTGAACTACCGACTGGACTGACCCAAAGCACAGTCTCATCTACACATTCCTCCTCCCTGCTTCCTCCTGCTTCTCTGTGTCCCTTTATTTCTCCCTCCCTCTCTCATTCCGATTTTCTTCTTTGTCCCATCTCACTGGTCCCCCTCCCCCCCACCCCCAGAGTATCTCCCTTGTTCACTGGAGTCGGAGGCAAATTGTACACTCAGTGTGTTCCCCTTATAGAGTGTCGATTTATGTGAGCGATTCTTGTTTTTAAGAGTGTGTTGGACTCCTGCTGTTTCTCTGGTTGAGGGCGAAAACAGGGCTTTAGGTACCCCGAATCCCTGCTTTATGGATCTGGCCCATTAGGAGGTTTTCCGTGGATAGAATGGCTGGGGGCGGGTACGATCAGCATGCATGTCTGCCTCTCCCCGCTCTTGTCCTGAGTTTGATTCTGATAAAGAGTGACTGGCCAGAATGCTAGCCCCCTGGCCGCCTACCCCACCCTACAACGGAGATGTCTCCCCTGGATGGTTTCCATTTGAAGGCATTCGCTGAAGGGCAGAGAAAGGAGCCACAGGCTGAAGAGGCCGTGGGGCCTGATCAATGCTGCAGAGCGAGTGAGAGTCAGTGCTACCCAGTGTCTGCCCTTGTGTGGGGTCCAACTCTGTGGGCAGGAGACAGGGCTGGCCAGCCTCCCTGGCCAGAGTTCTGGAGATGGATGCCTGCTGTATGAAATCACTGGCTGGGGAGGGTTCTTGAATATTTCTGAGCTCCAAAAAGCTGGAAGTTCCAAGGAAGTAGAGGGTGGAACTCTGAGGGGTGGGTCTGTGATCATGCCTGTGACCCCCCCACACACACACCTCTCACCCTGCAATGCTCAGCCAGGCTGGGCTCCTCTCAGTTCAGGGGCAGAGTTAGCGGCCTGAGGCATTGAGGAGCCTGAAGAATACTCTCCTGTGGCTGTGGGAGAGCAAGTCACGGCACTTTGGGAACCCTGTGTGGGAAGCATCATGACGGTGGGTCTGTGAACCATGCCTTAGATCACTCACGTTTGGTTGGGGAAGGGGCAGTCGCTGTGAGGAGCTGGTGTAGAGCACCCATCCAAGGTTGGCTGGAGATCCAGGAGCCTGTGGAGGCTGGCCAGGTGGAGCTGGCAGAACCAGGCTTCCTCCGGGGTTGGCATCATCAATTTGCAAGACAGCAATAAGGGGATTAGCGTGGTTCTCACCCTGCTTTCTCCCCTTGTGTCCCTCACTCTGGGGTCCAGTGCTGAGGTTTCTGAACTTACGGTGAAGGGGTCCCCAGACCTGTCTGCTCCCCAGCTTCCCTGTCTCTCTAGTCCCAGACCCTCATGTGCTCTGCAGGTGCACATGCGAGCTCTTCCTGGTGGGCAGCTTCTGAAAAGGCACTGTGAGCTCTACTTCAGGTCACAGCAGGCCAGGCCCAGGGAGTCTGGAACACCTCCCTGGGGAATCCATCTGCAAGTGAATTTCTGGGCCCTACAGGGAGTTGACAAGAGGCGGTAGTCGCTGGCCCAGTGTGAGAGGTTGTATCGCGGTTGCAATTACAACAGTCGTCAGAGCCCTGCTTTTAAAGCTAGACCCCTTGAGACAAATCCCAGCTTAGCTTCAACTTGCTGTGCAGACCCCACCAACCTCTTTGTCCGGCTCTCCTTGCATTGAGGACAGGCGACAAAGCCTGCCTTGCTGGACTGTCAAAGAATGAAATAAGAAACCGTCTGTATGGGGCCTAGTGTGGTACCTGGCATGCAGCAAGTGCCCCGCAGAGAATTATTGTCACCACCATGGCTTAGCCTAGAAGAAGCCCCTAGAAGTCACTGGGATATGAGCCAAGACAGTGCTTCTCAGGCCTCAGGATCCAGGGATCTTAGGAAAATGGAGATTCGTGTGGTGCAGGTCGGGGTGAGGGAGGAGCAGAGCCTCTTTAAACAGCACTCAGGCCCGGCTGCTTCCAGGACTAGGCTCTGCATCACGAGGCAGGCACCTGGACACTGTAATCCAGGCCAGCTGGATGAGACCCGCAGTCCTCTGCGCTCCTTTATGCCATCTGTCATTAGGACACTCCCTACCCTATTAACAAATACTCCAGGTGCCACACCCCAACGATGACATCCACTTGAGGTGAGAGATCGATGCAGAAGGAGGAGGGAACTTGTGGCTGACCTTGAGGTGTCCTCTACTTATAGGAGATGCTCTGGACAGCGCCTCGCTCTGCACGAGGAAGACTTGCAAAGGAAATTGGTACAGGCAGGTACACCACCCCTGCCTGCTTCCTCTCCACATCTGAAGGCTGTGGGTACCTAGAGCAGTGAGCCCTGCCAGCCCCTGTGACGATATGGGAGCAGCATGAAGCTTCAGAGCCAATATGCCGCCACTGTCACCGGGCTGCCTACGACAACAGCACACTTCGCCAAGGCTAGCTCTGGCTCATGGGGACCCCTGTTAAATGCCAGGTCCTAGCTACCATGAGAGTCTTGGAAGAGGGAACATGAGGGCCAAGTGCAACTGGGGCAGGGGACCCCTGGGCTGCACCGTAGTGTTAAATGTGAGTTGGGAACGCCTGGCCCAGAGACACCCAGATCTCTGCTTCTTCATGGCTTTATGGCCAACGCTCTCACCTCCACTGCTGATACACCATGGTTTCCAGGCACCAGCAAAGGGTCCTCAGACTTCCACCTAAACTCATGAACATACAGGGCTCTGCCCACATCTGCCTCTGAGAGATGGATCACAGTGAGCCTCGCACTGGTCTTTGCCCTGGTGGGTTCCAGCTGGCCCTGTTGGGGAATTGGCCATGTCTGGGAGGCTATAGTTTTAGAGCTGATTTCACATCGGCCTTGACCAAGAAGTGCCCTTCGTTCACCGTGTCTATATGTGTAAAGCAGGCAGGAGCCGGGTCTAAATCAAGGCTGCAGGCTGTGATCCCTGAGGGAGCATGTGTAAAGAAATGGGCTCTTTTTTATTATCATAAAATATCTCTAAGGTGTGAATTGATGTTTAAACCGTTTTTAGGTATACCGTTCAGTGGGGTTAATCACAGTCTCCCTGTATATATCAGTAGCACCATCTGCTCCTCAAAGGTTCCCCTCCCCCTAAGGTTTCCCTACCCCAAATAGACACTGAGTTCCTGGGCCCCGGGGAACTTCCCTTCTGCTGTGTGTCTCTGAATTTGTCTAGTTTGGCTGGATATTTCACGTGGATGGACACATATGACATTTGTCCTTTCTCTTGGCATGGTGCTTTTAAAGTCCACCTATGTTGTATCATGTCCAGTGTTTCATTCCTATTGTGTATGGTGTGTGTGTGTGTGTCTGTCTGTCCATGAGTCTGTGCACACAGAGGCCAATCTAAGGTGGTGTTCCTCGGGTGCTGTCCACCTTGCTTTAGAGGCAGGGTCTCTCACTGGTCTCGAACTCACCAAGTAGGTAAGACTGACTGGCCAGTGAGCCCCAGGCATTATTTGCTGGCCTCTGTATCCCCAGGGTTAGGTTTATAAGCACACGATACCACACCCAGCTTTTAGGAATATTCGATTAGTGGGATCAGAGAGGTGACTCAGTGGTTAAAAGCATTGACTGGTCTTGCGTTGGGCCTGGGTTTGGTTCCCAGCACCCACAAACATCTGTAACTCCAGTTACCAGGAGATCTGATGCCCTCTTCCGGCCTCTGCTGGCACCAGGCACACACACACACACACACACACGGTGCACAGACATATAGGCAGGCCATACACAGACAATAAAACATTTGCTTAATTAACTAATTAGTTAATGTGTGTGCTCACATGTGTAGCATGTGCAGAGGCTTGAAGCGGACATCAAGTGTCCTCTCCTCTCACGCTCTGTCTTTTCCTTTGAGTCAGAGTCTCTCCCTAAACCTGCAACTTCTCTTCTCTCAGCTAGGCTGTAGGCATCAGAAGGGTACCCAACTTGTTATGTGGATGCTGGGATCCAAATCCCTGTCCTCGTGACCGTGGGGCAAGTTTTCCTGACCTCTGAGTTATTTCTTTGGCCCTCTGGCTTTTTAAATGTGGGTTCTGGGATGCTGAGCTCAGGTCCTCATTGAAAGGATAAATGAAAAGAAAGGCGATAGTGGGTACCTTTTGGCAGGCCCTGCCAAGGAACTAAGCAAACACACCACATGCAACAGAGTTAGTGCAAGAGGTTTCCTGGGGGAGGGGGGAGGCCTGGGAGAGGGGGCAGAGAGAGGCCGTGTCAGGATGGGGACTTGAGAAAGGCAGACAGACAAGAGGAAGAAGAGAAGCAGGAGAGAAGAGAAGAGACAAGGAGGGGTAAGAGGCAAGAGAGGCAAAGAGGGCGAGCCGTGCCTGGCGGGCACTTTTAAAGGGTGCGCATGTCCCCTAGCTCACGGTGGAAAGGCACCTGGCGACAGGCGGTGAGGGAACTGCTTTGGCGGCAGAGGCAGGCTGCTGCTGCGGCGGCGGTGGCCGCAGAAACTAACACTCGGGTTTGCAAGGCAAGTGCTTCACCAGCTGTGCTTTCTTTCTAGCCCAGGCTTCATTCCTTTTGATGGCTGAATAATATTCCATTGCCTAAGCATACCGCATTTTGCCTTTGCCAGCAGCTATTGATGGATGCCTGGCTTGCTCTCAATGTTATTATTAAGCATATTTTACATTTTTGCCTGTTCCATGGGGCTGGGAACTACAGCCATCCTAGGAAAATAGCTACCTGGTGCATAGTGTAATGGAAAAACAGGCCAGTAGCCACACACAATGACGACATACGTGATTGCTGCCACGGGGCCCGTGAGGACACACAGAGCTTGTTGAGTAGAGGTGTGGAATCCCTAGGTCCTGGGCTTGCCCGACCTGCTGCCAACCTTGTGGATAGGAGTCTCTCTTCCTGGGTCTCAACACCTCCATCTGTAAAATGGATTTCAGGTTAAAGCCTCCTGGAATATTCTCAGGCAGAGGCTAGAAATCTTCATCTAGGACAGTGGTTCTCAATCTTCCTAACGCTGAGACCCCTTAATCCAGTTCCTTGTGTTGTGGTGACCCCCGCCCCAGCCATAAAATTATTTTTGTTGCGACTTCATAACTGTGATTTTGCTACTGTTAGGAATCGTAACACCAATATTTTTGGAGCTTGAGGTTTGCCAGGGGGGCCGCGACCCACAGGTGGAGAACCACTTATCTAAGGGCCTTCTTTGTTGTTACCCTTGTTTGTTTTCCGTGTGGCTGGGAATGGAGCCCAGGGTCTTCTGCATGCTAAGCACATACTCTACACTGATGTGCAGCCCCAGCTCCAGGCCACGGCACTCTAGGAAGGCTTCTGCTTTGTTTCCTGGGTGGAACCGGGTTGGAGACTTGCGGGACAGGAGCTGCATGTTTCAGTATTGCAGCCTGGTGCTGGGCAGGACTGTAGCTCCAAGTGGCCATGGTCCTATGCTCTACAAGGCCACCTGGCCTCCTCAGCGGTCTGCCTAGGTAGCGTAGCCGCAGAGGAATGGGCTGGGAGATGGACTTGTGAGTCAGAATTCCCCATCCACATGGAGCTGTGAATGGGTAGCTAACTAGAGGTGGAGGGGGGGGGGGCCCGCAGAATTGGCTTAGAATTCTGTTGGGGATGTCAGGTCAGAAGTTTAAGCCTGGGAAGTGGATGCCAGAGGCAGGGACAGCCAGAAGGAGTGAGTGGTGCCTGGGAGGAACCCACAGCTAGGGTGGAGACTTCCTGTCCAACAGACCCTTGTCCTGGCAGGAGAGCGAATTCCTTTCCCCCAGGAGATAAGAGGCCAGATTTTCCTTTCTCAGGGGCTCCTTCGGGCCACTAGTTACACAGGCCAGGTCCGGTGGGGGGGTGGGGGGGTGGGCCGCAGTGGGCAGAGCCTCTCCAGTCCCCTGTGCAGGGCCCCAGCTGACCCTGGAGCTAGGGCTCCCTTCCACCGCTCCCTGCATCCTCCGGGGAGTTGCAGGCCCTGCAGGAGCAGCACAGACTTAGAATCTGTGCCTGCTCCAGATCCAGACAGGGATCCCTGTCTCTGTGTCTCCCATTTCACCTGACAAAATGCACCAGGTGGCTGGTGGCTTAACCGCCCAGCTCGGGAAAGCATGGACACAGGGTCTGGCCCAACCTTTTCTGCCCCATTGCTGGCCTCACCTCAAGATACTGCTTTTCTCTTGGGCCCACGTCAGACTTGGTCCCCCTTCCTGGCACTTGACATTCCCATTTTTGGCCAGCCTCTCTGGGTGAAATCTCTTCTCATTTCAACGTATTGACTCCAAGACCACTGTAAGGGGAAAACTCACTACAGTAAAAACAATTTTAAAAAATTATTTATGATTATTATTATTGTTGTTGTTTTGGTTTTTTCAAGACAAGGTTTCTCTGTGTAGCCCTGGTTGTCCTGGAACTCATTCTATAGACCAGGCTGGACTTGAACTCAGAGATCCACCTGCCTGGATTCCCTCGTCCTGGGATTAAAGGCGTGTGCCACTCCCCCACCCCCACCCCATTCCTGGCTAAAGTTTTTATTTTATGTTGTAGCTGGAGAAGGGGCTCAGAGGAGAAGAGTACTTGCTAAGTACCAGACTTGTTCCCAGCACCTATGAGTTCCCTGTCACTTCAGCTCCATGGGATCCCTCTGGCCTCCATAGGCAACTGAACACATGTAGTATGTGCATCCAGACAGACATGCACATGCATACATATAAATACAAAATAGAAAATGTGTGTGTGTGTGTGTGTGTGTGTGTGTGTGTGTGTGTGTAGGTGTTTTGCTTGCATGTATAGCTAAGTACCAAATGTGTGCCTGGTATCTGCAGAGTCCAGAAGAGGGTGTGGGATCCCCTAGAACTGGAGGTAACTGATGGTTGTGAGCTGCCACATAGGTGCTGAGAATTGAACCCTGGTCCTCTGGAAGAGCAACCAGCAGTACTCTTAACTGCTAAGCCATCCCTCCAGCCCCAAGTACGTTTTAGAGCAGAGGCCGCGGTCCCAGATGGGAGTAGCTTGCTGGCCGCTAGCAACCATCCTGCAATAGGAAACGGTCACCTTCCCTTCCACAAGAGAGAGTGCCTGGTTTAGAGAGGACCAGGCCGCTCTTCTAGAGTGTAGAGGTGGGTGGTAAGGGTCCAGCCACTGGACACTTAGTCACACCCCTACCAAAGCATGGGCCACCCTGACACCCCTCCCCTCTCGCGCCCTTCACCCCCTTGGTTGCTAGTATAAGGGGTGGGGTGGGGGTGGGGTGGGGTTTTTATTTTGCTGCTTCCTGGCAGCCCGCCCCGGCTCAGGGTGGAGGCCTTCCCTAGGGCCAGAGGAGGCTCCAGGGCTCTGGGCTGTCCTCCCTGGGCAGTCTGGGAGGACCCCACAGGCCCAGCCCCGTTTCCATTTCCCTTCTGGCCCCTGCTGTGTGTTTTCTCTCTGGGTGGGGGCTCAGGCCCGGAGATCTGGTTCACCCCTCTCCCCACCCTCTCCTTGAAAGACCGAAGTTACCAGGGCTGAGGCCAGAGAATGACTGAGGGCTGCTCCCAGCTCATGGCCCAGAATTCCTTGGGGGCCCCTTCTAAGCCTCCCCTCCTTCTCTGCAGGCCATGAGCCGTACACCCAAGTTGTGCTCCATTCTTTTTAGGGTTTTTTCAGACAACCTCTTGCTCTGAGGCCCAGGCCAGCCTCAAAGTCTTTACCCATCTGCCTCAGTTTGAGATTACAGGCAGGCACCACCATGTTCAGATTCAGTTCCAGGTCCTTGGACGCCTTTGATTGTGCCGAATGGGAGGACCCCTCATATCAGGACTTGGCGGTGGCTTTTACTCAACTCTCTGCTTCCACGGTGAGCTCCAGTGTCCTTGGTTGTTAAGGTGGCTCTGTCTCTGCAGGTTCCCACGTGTACCAGTCCCGTGGTGTCTGAGAAACGCTGTTTCCCTGAAGTTACCCGCCACCCCTGCCTCTCCCAGTCTTCTCACATCCTTCCTCCCAGACCTCTGAGCCTTCGGGGCGGGAGGTGTTTGATAAAGGTAGCGCATTTAGGACTGAGTGTTCCAGAGCCTCCCACTCTCTGAACATTGTCCAGGGGCGGGTCTCTTCGTTAGTTCCTATCTACTGCAAGAAGAGCAATGCACTGGGTATCTATGGATAATAATAATAATAATAATAATAATAATAATAATAAATTTACTTAATATAGACTAGATAACACACAATATATAACTATAACATATACGATTTTATATATGATATATTAAATATATATGATAGATTGTGGGAGGCCAGCTCCCACTTTTCCCAGGGTTCCTATGAGGAAGAGAAAGGGATAAGAAAATATTAGATAGAAGGATAGTGAAGAGGAGAAAGACAGAAACACAGGACAGCTTCGGGAGGACCTGGATCAAAACCCAAGGGTCCTTTTCCGTTTATTCAAAAGGGCTTTTTATAACAATGCCAAGGGTCGGGGCAAAAGACCTCCCCCTTGATAAATCAAAGCACACCACACAGCCAAGTGCAGACCCTTCCAAACACCTGGTAACCATGCCTGTGGTCAAATCACCCCCTTATGCAGCCCTGCTGGGTAAAGCAAGCTCAGATTCTCGGACCCTGTGTAAGTTCTCACTAGGAAACCCCTGTGGCTCTCTACAATATATCTAGCAATATGTCATTTTATTGCTGTTTCTTTAGCAGAATAATAGCAGTAGGTTTTCCCCTAAGGGCCGTGACCTATGTCCCCAGCAGGTTCTTGGGCATTTTAGCAGTATCAGATATGGGTATGTGCAAGACCCACAGAGACTCAACCCAGACAAAATTCTGCACTGAGAAGGGGAAAGTGAGCTCTAGGTGGAACCCCTAACTAAGAAGCTCTATTGTAATTGGTGTATTCTGGGGTTGGACAAATCCAATGGTTGGGATTATTTTTTTTTAAATACAAAATTTTAAAAATGGCTCAGTCAACCAGACCACAGTCCCCTTCTCTCCTCTGCTCTCTTCCGTCTCTCATTATCTGCACTCGTGAAAGCCACCAATGTCACTGGTGATTCAGTACAGTGGAAAGTAAAAAGCACCCAAGGCCAGTGAGTGGCAGAGACTGGTCTAGCCGCTCTGTCAATGCTGGTGGTCATCTGCCGGTGGTCATCCCGGTGGCAGGGCGGGGGCTGTGGGGCGGAGGCTGCGGGGCGGGGGTTGTGGGGCAGGAGGCTGCTGCTGGGCAGGGGCTGCGGGGCGGGGCTTCGGTGCCGGGGCTGCCAGGTGGGGATGGCTCATGGGCAAGCCAGCTTGGGTTTTGCAGCTGGCACAGGAATTCAAGCATGTGTTTGGATGCCGTGTGCTGAGTCCGGAGAAGGAGGCAGCTTTCAGAGGGAGGGATCTCTGAAGAAATCCTCTCCTGCACCCCTCTGAGAGTGTGGCAGGCTGGGGCTTGGCATGGCCCGCGAACCTATTAGGAATGCAGAAGCCCTGAACAGGAAGGGCTCATCCACAGTCCCACAATGCATCTGTGGCAGGACCAGGGTCCGCGGACTCATCTTCTTGCCACAGTTCTTGCCTTCTCCTCGGAGGGCTTTGGCAGTCTTACACCTGGAAAAGACCCTCACACCCCCCTACACCCAGGCAAGAGGACCCCAGCTGGGACCTCTCCCAAGGCCGTGCCTCTGTGTGATCAGCATCCTTCCTGCTGGCCCGTAGCCCCGCCCCGTTATCATCTGATGCTCTGGGAGCTCATGCCAAAGCCCATGCCTCTTGTTCATTGTTGTCTTTGTGGGCTCGGGCGGTGGCTCGGCATCTGGCTCCTGGTAGCCTGTGCAGCGGGATGGGGCTTTGAACACTTCTCTTTCCTCACCCTTCTCTGTCAGGCTATTTCAGATCTGCCTGGATCTCGGTCCCCAGAGTGTGGCCGGTAGTGAGGATACCGGGTCCTCGTGGATTTCAGTCCAACTCCACAGCTGGAGGGGTGTGTGTGGGGGGTGGGGGGGCGGGTCAGGAGGGCAGCATGCTGCAGGAGACTTGAACAGTATTTCCTGCCATGACTGTACTGTACTTCCTTCTTCTTTGAGGATCCCAGCATGCTGGGCCTTGGTGGCCTTCCCTTGCCCTGCCCGGGTCCCTCCCGCCCCTCCCTCCGGGGCTGTTTTGGTGCCTGAGCTTTCCCAGAACCGCGGGCCTCTCCTTTCCTCTTCCTCGCATAGTTACTCTTCCTGTGATCTCTCAGGCCCCACCCTCCCCTCCGTCTGGGGGGTGCCCGCCTCCCTCCCTTCCTCTCTCCAAGCCCTTCCTCCACTCTTTCTATTCCTGGTTGGACCACCCCCCCCCCCACCATTGTCCGTTCCCAGGAAAGGGATGTCTGGCTGGTCACTGGTCACTGATTGCAGGGTGGGGGACCTGAGCCCAAAAGAAAGCCAGCTCTGTGGGGAAACTCTGCCCGCAGCCCCGCAGTCCACAGCACCAACGCCAGCAGCAGTTTTAGAGACCTTATTTTCTAAGTTGGGCCGCAGTCACAAGCGGACACCCGCCCCAGAGTCTCAGCTGCCTCTGCTAATTTCACCATGCCCTGAGCTGTGTGTGTAGGGGGCTGGGTGAGTACCCACACCATAGTGGCCCCGGGGTGTTTCCCGGCAGCCACTGCACCAGGCTGGCTGAGTCTGTGAGCCTGGACAACTAACACTGAGACCCAGAGCTGCTCTTTGTCACTACTTGCGACCAGAACTGAAGATAACGGCGGAAGGATGAGGAGGGCTTCCATGAGCACCCCCTGGGAGCTAACACTAGGCTCCCCAGGACTACATACAGTCTATTGGCAGCATCATGGGAACCTGAGGGACCCCATTCTGGGGAGAAGTGAGGCCTTCCTACACACAGGCCTTCAAGGGCATCCCTCTGCCTCTTCCCGCCTGGACTTGTGACAATTTGTTCTCTCTTCCCCTCTACTGTTCTGTTTCTGGTCTTCCTAAAAAGTACACAGCCCAGCCCGGAGGGGCCCGGGGTATTTTTACTCAGTGGATACAGAAGCAGATGTTCAGGTCAAGCCCAGACACATTCACACGCAGCAGCTGCAGGGTCTGAGCATCCCAGGCCCTTCAGGCTTGGAGATGGCAGCTGACAGGACCCAGCTTTTGCAGCAATCAAATGACATTGGGCTGCAGGAAGCAAGCTTAGGTTGGAGCTGTTGGTCAAGGCCAGGGCACTTGCCTAGCACCCTAGTCCTGCAAAACAGAGTCCCGAAGCCCTCTAGGAGAAAATAGAGCGAGACAACACAGTGATTGGGAAACCTGATCAGACAGAGCTGGCGTGCCAACAGCGCTGTGCATGCTCCCAGCTGTACCTCCACTGGTTCTTGTCCCCTATGGGGTACCTCTGACCTGCAGTGCTCCACAGAGTCTGCCTGTCTTTCCCAGATGAGGGAGACACTGGCTTCTGGAACTGAAGAGGCACGTGTGCCACCTGTGTCTGTGAGGGAGGCAGTGTGGCGCTCCATAGGAGCTGGCCCGGGACTTGGAGCCCTGAGAGGAAAGGAGGGGAATCAGGATGGACAAGAGTCACAAGGGCCTGGGAGACGGGGGCACGTAGGACACAAGGCCAGCCTCAGACATTCCGTTTCATCTGAGAGAAAATGGCCTCTGTGGGGGCCAAGTCACCAGGCCCAATGTCTTGCTCCCGTGAGCTTGGTCAGAACAATCACAGCTCATCTCCGTAGGCCCCGAATTCTAGTCTCAAGGACATGGCTGCCGATTTCACTTCAAAGCCTTATTGAACCCCTCCTTTGTAAACACTATTTGCTCTTTGCTGCTTGTGATTTTTCTCATAAACCCACTCAAATAATTCTGGGAAGCAGGACAAATATACGTGGAGAAAAAAAAAGAGAAAGAAGGGGGCATGTCTGGAATGTCCCTGCAGACAGTTGGCCTTCACTTGGGGATCATTATGTTCCTGGAAGATCCAGGTTTTTGATAAGTAGATTACCCTCATTTTTTAAACTGTGGAAATTTTATGGGAACTTTTTGAAGGAAAAGAATTGCTGGATATAATGGTGAGTGCTAGTAATCTGAGCACTGGGGAGCCTGAGAGATAGATGGCCTATCATGAATTCCAGGCCAGCCTAAGATACATGATGAGATCTTTGGGGGAGGGAAAAGACAGACCAAGGAAGAAAAGGAGAGAAGGAGGGGGAAAGAAAGAGAGATCTTAAGGAGGAAGGGAGTGGGGGAGGAGGGAAGGAGGAGGGACAGAGAGAATGAGAATCGCCATAATTATATAGACAACCACAGTTAGCATTTTGGTGTGTTTCCATGTATATACTGGGTTTTCAAAACAGGGTTTCTCTGTGTGACCCTGGCTGTCCTGGAACTCACTCTGTAGACCAGGCTGGCCTCAAATTCACAGAGATCCACCTGCCTCTGCCTCCTGAGTGCTGGGATTAAAGGTGTGTGTCACCAGGCTTGGCATAGATACATCTTAGATGTGTAAACTTATTTTTAGTATTTATAACATGGGAAGTTTTTATTTTTTTAAATTAGCATGCTAGTTATTAGATATCATTATGGCATAGCTGTAGGCAGACTTTTCTGTCCTACCAGCCAGTTCCCAGATAACCAAACTGAGATTTCTTACTAATTATAAATGCTTGGCCAGTAGCTCAGGCTTGTTACTAGCTAATGCTTATATTTTTTAAATTAACCCATATTTCTTATCTATGTTCTGCCACATGGCTTGGTACCTTTTCTCAGTACAGCAAATTCATCTCCTTCTTTCCACTTCTCCTCGAGATCCTTTGACTCCACCCTTCTTCTTCCCAGCATTCTTTCTGCCCTGAAAATCCTGCCTAGCTACTGGCCAGTCAGTTCTTTACTAACAATGAGAACAATACATATTTACAGTGTGCAAAAAGATTATTCCATGATTATTCTAAGATTATGACATGTGCATGTCAGTGTTCTATGATAAGGTCTGTGGTGTCTGGCTCTGATATTGGTCCTCATGCATGCTAGGAGCTATACTATCAGTGCCCCGCCTCCTTTAAATTTTTTATTTTGAGACAAAGTCTCATTCTATAACCCTGACTGGCCTTGAATTTTCAATCCTGTGTCTCAGCCTTTTGAGTGGCTGGGGTTAAGTGTTTTGGCCCCAGGCTCCAGCTTCAAATGTCTTCATTAATATCTAAAATATCTCAATTCTTCATAGTTAGAGACTCAGATCTTTCCCCAAATTTACGTCACTGCAAGAAAACATTGACAGTTATCTTTGTTCACAAAGTTCTTTTCAAAGGTAAGATGATTTCCCCGAGGAAGGCTGAGAACTAGACTCAGCCCAGAGCAGAGGGTCGGGGTAGCAGGATTTTGAGTGTACCAGTGTGGGTGTGTACCAAGTGCATGTGCTTGTGGATGTGTTGGTGTGAGTGTGTTGGTACGAATGTGCCCACGCATGTGCACATATAAGTGCATGTGTGTTTGTGAATGGGCCAGTGTGAATGTGCGCTTGTGAAACATCCTTGTGTATAGGTATGAGTGTGTGCCTGTGTGTCACTGTATGTGTGTATACAGATGTAATGTATGCTTGTGAGCATGGCAGTGTCTGTGCTGGAGGAATTGTGTGTTAGTATATGCTTCTGAGTGTGTAATTGTGAGTGTGTGCTTACGAATATGTCATTGTCCCCAAGAGAGGACTAAAACACCTTGGAGCCTGCAGGCTGACCTGGCAAAGCCCTCAGGCTACGGGACCAAACCCTTCCTGCCTTAAGACCTCCTTTGAGGCTGTGGAGGTGAAGGGTATGGAATGAGGTGTTTATGTGCTGTGGGCTGGCCTGCTCAGGGTGCACAGACAGCCTTGGCCCAGATGTGCGTCATCCCAGCCTGGCTGAGCTGAGCTCCAAGGCAGGCTGCCTGGTTTTCTCCTCAGGAAGACTAGTCAATGGGGTCAGCCAGCGGGTAAGCTAAAGTTAACTTAGCTTGTTATTGCTTTTTGTTGATGAGGGGGAGGACCAGCTGCAGGGAGACCGAGTACGCCAGCACAAAGTCTATATTCAGCCAAGAGAAAGCAATTGACGATGATTTGAAAGTCCGGACTGGACTCCCCAAGGCTCTCTGTGCTTCTCTGAGCTTCCACTTCATTATTTTCTTGAAGAATATTTTTCCTATGAAGTTATGACTCCTGGAAGCTGGGGAAGCGCATGGCCTCCTGGGAGCCATCAGAGGCTCCCTTTATTGGAGGAAGCTCTGACGTAGATGGGGGCGGGGCAAGATTCCTGGTGGGCTCTGTCCCCAAGCTCTGGGGCGCTGTGATGCATGATGGCAGGGGTGGGGGGGCAGCGGTTCATAGACAAAAGCTAGCTGGTTCTGGGGGACAAGACTGAAAGGCAAAGCCGAATATCCTGGGTGTCCCTGAGCCAAGAACATTTTACTTGGGTCTCAGAATTCCATGGCCTGCTGGTGCATCGGGGCATGCTGCTGTTCAAAGGGACCTCTTTTGACAAGGAAGCAAAACGGATCGAAGGCACTTGAGAAGCTTAGTTCAGGTCAATGTGCAGACGCATGTAAAATACTTTGAAGACTTCAGACGTCAGATGTTCTCATTAGGAAGTAGCTTGTAAGGGAGCGTAGCAGGAAGTCTGGATGTGCCCGTGAGCTAGGAGATCTAAGAGAAGATGACGACGACGAGGTCTATTTACAGCCTTCCTATTGTGTGCCAGGTACAGCAGAGGCGTGCCAGAGTGGATTTCTCATCTCAGGAACTGTGGGTGAGGGGCTGGAGAGATGGATAAGTTCTGCTGCCACGGAGGACTCGAGTTCGGTTCCCGGCACTCACCTCACGTGGCTCACAACTGCCTATAACTCAAGCTCCGGGGCGTCCTGTGCCTTCTTTTGGCCTCCATGGGCACACACAGATGCAGCCACATAAATAAAATAAGTATTTTTAAAACAGGGACTGTGGTTGAGGCTTGGAACAAAGCTTCGCTGATAGCCCGAGGACTGCAGTACTGGACTACAGAATATCAGAGCCAGCTTGAGCAGCTTAGAGAGCCCTGCCTCAAAATTAAAAAAAAAAAAACAACAACCAGGGCTAGAGATGTGTGATAGTCTGATTAGCATGCATGAGGTCCTGGGCTCAATACCTCCAAAAAAAAAAAAAAAGAGAGAGCATAATATTGATGCTCAGAGAGGGGGTTAGCAGGGCAGGGAACGTGACCCCCAGTGGAGGCACAGGGGAGGTAAAGGGTGGAGGGGACATGGCAGACTGTTTGCAGGATGTGGGGAGCTTTGATGTTCAACCTAAGGAGTCTGGACTTTATTCTTCAGCTCCCAGGGACTCAATGGGAGGTTTCCAAGCCGGGATTTGGTTTTATGGCAAGCAGTCACATAAATACACCCTCACTGAAAGATGCTGTCACCGTTCCAAAATCTATAAAGCAAAGATGGAAGTCTTCCCCCCC